GAAAGAGTGAATAAACTCATTTTTTTACTGGTGATGTGAAATTATTTAAATTTAAGAGGAAATATCTTTTCAGGCTTGCCAAGGTAAGACTACTAAATTCCTTTAGCTTTAGATTTACCAAAAAACAAATGTTTGTTTATTATTTTAAAAAGTAAAACAACACATATGGACAAACCTTTCTATATGTCGAAAAAAAAAAAATTCAACATTTGTCATTCTTATTTAAAGAGAGAAAAAATTCTGTCAGCTATTTCCATGTATACAATAACACAGATATGCTATATATACATAAAAGGGAATCATTCTTTTTAACTTTTTGGTACATTATTACTGCAAAAGATCGATCCTAGCGCGCTTGTGGTTGGAGTTGTGATACATGTATAAAGATTTAGATTTGATTTTTATCACCACCATTGTAACATTTTTTATTTATAAAAGAAAATTTCTAATACTTGAATAAATGTTATTAATATGTAATATGTTCATATTATAAATTAGGTTGGAGTGTAGTATTTATTATATTGTAATTGTAATTTTGATGAATAAAAAAAAATATTACAAAGTGAGAGGATACGTTCCCAAACATATAAAGACTAATTCATGTTCTTCTTGACGTTGGGTTTTAAAATGACAGGTCACACGACTCAAGTGTGGTGGTTTCATCGTGGCCACTGGGTGGCACCACACCATGGCTGACGGAGCTGGTTTGTCACAATTCATGAACGCGTGGGCTGAAATGGCTCGAGGCGCAAGGGCTCCTTCCATTGCACCTGTGTGGCGTAGGGAGCTCCTAATGGCAAGAGATCCACCACGCATTACACGTAACCATCGCGAATACGAGCATATCGAAGACACCAAGGTAGGAACTAATTCACACGATAACCTTGTTCGTCGATCATTCTTCTTTGGACCCACTGAGATCGCTGCCATTCGTCGCTTGGTTCCCTACCACCTTCGGCATTGCACCGCGTTTGATGTTATCACAGCGTGCTTGTGGCGCTGTCGCACAAAAGCACTGCAAATAGAGCCAGACGAGGATGTTCGTATGATGTGCATCGTGAACGCGCGTTCTAGGTTTAAGCCTCCGCTACCTGTTGGTTACTACGGAAACGCTTTTGCATACCCCGCAGCGATCACCACCGCAGGGAAGCTTTGCGGAAATCCATTTGGGTATGCTGTGGAGTTAATAAATAAAGTGAAAAGTGAGGTGACAGAGGAGTACATGCATTCTGTGGCGGATCTAATGGTGATTAAGGGACGATGCATGCTGACAACTGTTAGGTCTTGTCTCGTGACGGATTTGACACGTGCGCGGTTTAGGGACGTGGATTTTGGATGGGGCAAGGCAGTGTCTGGTGCACCAGCAATAGATAAGGCTGAGCCCTTTCCTGCAGCAACACATATTGTGTCATATAAGAATCCAAAAGGAGAAGATGGGTTAGTGTTACCAGTTTTGTTGCCTGCAGAAGCTATGAACAGGTTTCTCAAAGAGATGGATGACTTGCTTGGGAACACAAACCAACCCACAGGAGCTGGTCCTGGTTTTATCAAGTCTACCATCTAGATTGCAGCTTTTCAAACTCTTGAGGCAGACTGATAGCAACATTATCTCATCATATACTCTTTTTTTTTTTATTATTATTATTTCTCTTCATTATTATATTATGTAAAATTTATTTAAAAAATTACAAATTATGTGAGTCTTGTAATTCAATTAATCAAACTTTTTCTTAATTTAAAATTTGTAATTTTAATAAACTTAATTTAATTTAATAGTAAAGAGAGCCAGAGTGAAACGCTATATTTATTACATTGGTATGAAATAAATAAATTTAATTTATGAAAATTGAGTCAAAAAACTGTCAAGCCTTTGCTTTGTTTTTATGTCCATTTTCAATTGAGATATACACCTTTATTTACCAAAAGGCACCCAATGAATGTAGCTGAGTTGAGGTGTAGCGGAAAACTTGGGTTCAATTGAGATATTACCTAAAAACAAACCGAACATGCATGTCCTTATGTTACAAAAAATATTAAATTATTAGTTCTAAATATTAGGTTAAATTCTCCTATAAAAAAAATAGGTTAAATAATCAACAATCTCATGGTATAATATTTATATTTGTACTTCCTTGTTTATGAATTATTATATGATTAATTAACTGGTAATTTCTATTAATTTATTTTAAATAGTTAATTAGGATTAAGAAACTGTATGGACAAATTAGTTCTAAAATATTTCTCAGGTTAATTAATCAACCAACCTCAGAATTATATTTATGCTTCCTTGTTTATGAATTATAATATGATTAAGTGATAATTCGTAATTAGGAAAATGATTAATTTCTAGTTATTATCAAACTGGTTAGCTAATTGAGACGTAGAATAAATTAACCAAACCTAAAATTCACACAAATTGAAACCGGGGAGATTTGTGAACAATTGAAGTGGCAAACCCTAGAATTCTCTCTTATGCAATCTCATTCATTTTACAACTTCTTTACTCTATAAATTATACAATTTGTGTTAGATTGGCTTTTCACTTTTTCACTAAAATTGATTTCCGTTAAACAAATAAAAGCATATATTAGATTAATACTTGTCATTTAGTTCTTCAGATTTAATAGTTAAACTTTTATTAATTAATACTGTTACGATCGGATATGTTTGCTCAGCGTATTTTAAGTGCAAAAGAAACTAAAACAACTAGCTATTTGGGCCTAAAAGGACATAAATACTACCGTCACATAATTTGCTGGTTGTGGAGAAGAACTGAGAATTGATTGGTGCATACCGTGCCTCCTATTTTGTTAATTTTGCTTTTCAATTTTTGTGAAATTTGCGCACCTTTCCGTTCCCCTTCCCACGTTAAGATGTTTTAAGGATATTTAATTTTTCCACAAGGTGAGTAGTATGTTGTGAAGTTGTGTAGCTATGTTAGAATTTTATATGAATAATGATGATGTGTTGTTGATATGCATGTTGATCATAATGTTGTAAATGAGTTGTGATGGTGGTGATATGAGTTGAAAAGTTGTGTTGAAAATTATAATGAACGATTATGTTGTTGATCTGTGTTGGTAATTTACGACTAGAGGAGATATTTTCAAAAGTCACATATCTCATTATATGGATATTGTATTGTGGTGCTCTGAGAGTCCAATTTGTTGAAAAACTCTTCTTAAGAAGTTGACCCTTGAAGTGAATATTGTGTTGTTTCTCCATTAGAACTTCGTTAGCACCGTGTGTGGGTAAGGTCGAGGCACACATGTATGAAGCGACCACATTATAGGGGTCAGGTTGAACTATATTGATTACAAGTAACTAATCGAGTAAAGTACGAAATCAAGAACTCAATTACTAACCGTGTATCAGAAGGTTGTAGTATTTGAAGGATAGTCGGTTGACTAATCCTATAAAAAGTTTGGTTAAGCTAGCTAATATCGTGGTAGGCTCGTACCCAGTTGTTTTATCCTAACATTAGTATTATACTTTCTTGTTTAAGTGGAAATATCTGAGAAACTGAGTTGTTGTGTTGTGGATTTATATCCAATTTGTTGTTGATCTAACAAGCCTAAAAAGATTGTCGATTTGGTAGGATCAAACCACTTAAATTGCTCATCTTGTATTGTATATGATGTGTTGAGATAATTGTGTTGCTCATGTGTTGCATTGAATAGTGATGAAATGTGTTATTGTGTTGATTAAAAGTTGGACTATGTTGATTTGTATTGTATACTACAAGAAAAAGTCAAATTTCTCACGGATTATTTTCTACGGATCAAAATCCGTCGGAAATTTCCCACGGATTTTTACATGAAGGAATTTCCGACGGATTTAAATCCGTGGGAAATTTCCGACGGATTTAAATTCGTGGGAAATTTTTGACGGAATTTCCCACGGATTTAAATCTGTCTGAAATTTTTGACAAAATTTCCCACGGATTTATATCCGTCTGAAATTTTCGATGGAATTTCCCACGGATTTAAATCCGTCTGCAATTTCTGACAGAGTTTCCCACGAATTTAAATCCGTCTGAAATTATTAAATAAAATTTAAGTCAATTATTTTTCAAATGCAACCAATCCTGATCGCATCAATACACACAACAATGCTCTATATAATATTTTCATTATTATATGTGTGTGTTTCAAAATATAAATAAGATAAATATAAATCAAAGTGTGTGAGGTATGATTTATATTACGTATATATAATTATATGTTTAGGTTATAATAAATTATAAACTAATTAGCATAAATGTGTTTTTTTTACTTATCTTGAAAAATACCAACACATGACGTCTAAATTTAAGATTATTATATCTTTTCTTTAATTATTAAAAATCTCTCATCTCTTTGAAAATAACGTTATTAATTAAATAAGGGGAAAAAAAGTTAAATTATGTTCTGCAAATATCATATATATGTATCTATCATTTATTTCTAAATTACATCCAATACTATGCATGTCATTTTCATGAAAACTTTCATTGATCTTCAATTTTGAAAATAAGATTTTTTTCAATTCATTTTCAAAATTATTACTTAAATTTAATATATTTTTTAAATCACAGTGTGCATGATATTTAAAATAAATTTCAAAAAAGTTGAAATAATGAAATAAGAGATCAAATCTCATTTAATTAATGATATTTGTATTAATAAATTATTTTCTCTTATTAGTATATAAATAGTATTATCTTTATGTGCCACTTAAATAAATAAATAAGAAAATTATTACTCACTTAAAAATTTGAGAAGAAATATACGTATGACGTTATTGAGAAAAACTTCAAGTAGGGGTTAATGAAATTTTTTCTAGATTAAATCTTCTTTATTTAAAACTTAAAACATTAAAGTTAAAATAATTACACTAAAAAATTAGTTTTGTTCCTAATAACTAATTGATTTAAAAATATCTCTTCAAGTTCTAGTAATTTCTTAAATATATAGTTGTTTGATTATCTATAGTAATAGATAAAGGGAAATATATGTCATCTTGTAACTGATTTTTGTCTAAAAAATAACAGATAATCATACTCTTAATTTTTAAGAAATAAATAAATAATTTTTTATTATTTTACTTTTAAAAAGATTTAAAGACACAAAGTGTCTGTTTCCTTTTTCTCCTAATATATATATATAATGGTACGCGATAAACTAATTTAATATATATATATATATGAATTCAATAGGGATATTTTTACTCAAAGAGTAAGTTTGCCTAGACTTACTCCATTTAATAACTCATGTTCAACATTAAATTTTAACAATCCAACTGTTCAATTTAAAATTCTTAATGCATAGATGAAATCTGCAAATTTTTAGAAAATTAGAAAATCATTTGATACTTCATTTCATTAATTCAAATTGACGGATAATCATAGAATCATTTTATACATTGATTCAAATTAATGAAACGAAGTATCAAATAATTTTCAAATTTTCTAACAATTTACATATTTGATCTATGCATTAAGAACATTAAATTGAACGGTTAGATCGTTAAAATTTGATATAGAACATGAGTTATTGAACGGAATAAGTCTAATTTTATTCATTTTTCTTTTTTTCATTTTATTTTTGTTTTATATATTCTAATTTTATTTGTAATAATATGATTATATATTTAAATAGTTTAATTTTAATATTTTTTAAGTATATTTTTATCTTTTCACTTAAAATATTTAAATTTTTATATTTTTATTTGAATAATTTTTTAAGTATATTTTTGTCTTTTTATCTTAAATTTTTGAATTTCTATATTGTAATTTTTATAATTTTTTATTTATATTATTTATTAGTTCTTTTCTTTTTTTTAATGTTTTATAATATTATTAAAATTTTATAATTTTAATCTCTCTAATTTTATCTTACTTTTTATTTTATAA